AAGGGAGCGCAGGTGCGTGGCGTGGGGAGCGTGTGTGCCTCTGGGGGCTGCCCTCCCCGCTGCGTGGGGTCGCGTCCACGCCGTGAGCTTCCACTTGGCTTCGGGTCCCTCCCACGTAAGGCTGCGCGAATGTGCGGGGGCTGCCTGTGTTTTGGCTCAGAGGAGACGGCGTGCATTGCTGTGTTTTTTTTCTAGCGCTGCTACTTGCATGAAATATTTTCCAAGAGAAACGAAAGCTGTGTCATCTTACATTAATTATTAAAGGCAGTGTACATAGTGTGTAGTTCTGCCTTGGAAGTTTTGCAGCACTATTTTCTCCACATCTACATCTAGTGCAGTTAGGGATAGATACTGGCACCCGATAGTGGTATGTACAAATGGTCATAGGTGCCGCGGAACATGTCCCTGTGCCAAGAGGTCCCTGAGAAAGGCACATGCAGGTAATAGAATGATAAGACTGTATATGTTTATGAAGTTAATATTCCTGCACTTAGAACCTGAAATAAGCTTAAAAAAATTGGTCAGGCACAGGTGTATCATCAGCTGCAGTTTGTATCTCTGGTAATGACAGTAGTGGATACTGGGGATAGGGTATAATGACGAGGTAAATGGATTGATAGTTCCCCTTAGCACTCTGCTCTGTTAGTCCTCAGCATTATGCAGGTCTTGAAAAAGTCTTGTTTGTTTCCCACCCCCCCATCTGACAGGTTGCCCGTTGCTTGTTTGAGCCGGGGTGCACTTAGTATCTCTGGTGACCTTTTACAAGAAGTTTGACAGCTTAACTGCAAGCCACCTGAAGACCCATCTCCTTTTTGTGTGTTTGGAAGGTGCCACTTGGCTTTCCTGTAGGCAGCCCACGTGTCATCTTTGCACCGCTTATGAAGTGGCATAATTAAAATCTAAACCCAAGTTGCTTTCCCAGGCTTTGCTATGCTTATTACCTAGATGAAAAAAGCAAAAGACAGAGGAAATAAGGCCAAGAAGGAAGTACCTTGTTTTAACACTGAGCAGAGTCACTGTTAGCCTAATGCTAAGAGGGAGTCTGGAAAAGATTCCACAGGCCAGTCGGGAAGGTTTCAGCCCTTAGCTTATTAACAGTTCTGTTTTTGAGTTGTGGTTTTTGATTGGTAGTTTTTTAGCGTGAACTTGTACTCCTTCAACATGGCAGACGAGCGAAGAAGCTATCTTCTTGTTCTCCCCTTTCTCCCACCAAATGTCTTGGCTGCTCAGCTTGATTCAAGCCTTTTGTTTCAATGGGATATAGTCTTTAAAGGCATCACTTATAATTTCTGCTGTCAAACTCCTTAAATAACGCATGCATGCCAGGTTATATAACCATATACAATATAATACACAATCATGTGTGTACTATTATTATATTTATAGTCTTGTTCAACATATATGAAGTCTCCTCTTTGGATTAGCTCTATACATAATGTTTTGGAACAAAAAAAATATTCTGCTGTGTCTGAAGTAGATGTGGCTTATAAAGGTTGTACTTCCATTTTCAGTGAGAGATACAGACGATACCATTAAAAACTTAGAAAGAAACAGTATGCCAACTGTGAGGGATTTTAGAGGATGTTGAAAAGGTGATTTACTAAATAGGTAACATTTTCTTAAACTGCGCTTTTATAACAGCTTCCTACAGCTAGCATCAGTTAGGGAAATCCTGTAATTTCTAGTAATGTCTGGTAAAGCTATGTAGACACGAGCCAGTTACACACTTTTCGTAATTTTCAGCTTTTGACAAAAGGATGTATTTGAAAGTCAGACACTAGTTCTTTGACTGCAAAATGAACAAGGAACAATTAATCTAAAACATATAGCATATAGTTATGAATAAGGAAAAAGCTGGAAACAGTTTCTTTTCAGTTCAAGCTGTGCAGGAATTCTGGTGGCACATTAGCCAGGCTGCTGGATACTTTCATTCTTATTTTTCTTAATGCAGAATTAAGAAAATATTCCTTAAGCATTTGTAAATGGTACATTACATATGGAAATCACTGCTATGTTAAGAGAGTGCAGGGTTCAGAAGAAAAGTGAAGCTCTTCAAAAGACAGGTTTCTGGACTAAATTGACAACTGGGCTAAGTCAGTGCAGTCTGTGTGTTCTGCCGATTCCAGCACTTTGCCATCCAGCAGTATATAATGTTTGAGTTGTGTTTGGCAGATGGTTTGTGGACCCAACTGGGAAGACAATAGTCCTTTTTACGCTTTCTTTTTTTGTTCGTTTTGGGGGATTATTTCTTTCTATTTGGTTGTAAGGTCATGGTTCTAGGATACTGGAATAACCTACAGTGCCAAAAGGCAGCACTAAGATTTTTTTCTTGCTTGTTTGCTTGCCTGACAGTCCTTGTGTACACAGAGTAGGATTTGCAAGTGAAAACCCAAAGTGTTTTGTGCTAAGACTGTACAGAAGTTTAGGACAGTTTAATTCCTCATAGAGGCAATAAATTATGAGGTCTGTGGCTGATGAAATAACTAGTATCCCATTGCATAACCAGATCACCTTGTGCATTTTTTTTCCTAGACATCTTCCAGCACATCCTTATCCCTGCTATCCAGCCTTCACTCTGTGTATCCGCCTGAAACTTAATGTATTTTAGAAAGGAAAAATATTTGAGCTTAAACTGAGAGTGGTCATAGACTAGTAATTTTGCTTAATGAAGGCTGTGTATTAAAATGCAATCATATCTATGTTCATGCCTAAATAATTAAAACACTATAACCTACTACAGTCCTAAATGATAAACTTGTATAATATTAAATAGTGTTTACTTCTACTTTCAATATAATTGTGCATTGTTCACTTTTACTTTCAGTATAAGTGCATTGTTCTTGCATCTTATGCTGGACAGTAGTAAGATCAAACATAGTTTATCTAAGTATAAGCTATTTCCAAATTATAAAGGCCTTGAGCAAGGTGAGAGGGAAGAGCAAAACGTGAGCAACCCTAATGTTTAAAGTATAGCTAAATTGCAATAGTGATGGGTACTAGTATATGGAATATAGCAAAATGGATAATGGAAGTGCTTTATTAATTTTTTTTTCTTAAAATGACAAGGGAGTGGTAGTGCTCCTTTTTAAGGACAGGGATGAATTCTGTAGATACCTTTTAAAATTAATTTTGCTTTTGCACCCAGGCTAGATTGCAGAGGAATAACTGCATAGTAACCAGGCAGTTGTTCATCTCGCTGTTACTCTGTCGGAGCATGGATCTAATACTCGCAGATGCAAGAAACTGTTAGAAGTATGCTTTCATTAAACCTTTCATAACTTCCTTAGAGACTAAGGTTTTGAAGCAATGGTTCTTGTTTTTACTGTAAACACTTTGACAACTGCTAAAACATGTCCGTCTTTGATCTAAGTTTATAAATATGTGTGTTTTTCTGAATCTTGGTAAGTTCTTGGGTAAATGGTTACCCATCACTGTTAATGGGATCAGTGCCTAATGATGCAAGTGGACAGAAGGTAGTTATTTAGTGACTTCATAGGTGTTTATATCTCTTAGTTGGAGATCATTTGTCTGTAGTATGGTGACAACCTCCTCAAGATACCCGTTTTGGATAGAGTGGTTACCAACTGTGGGTTGCAGCCCTTGCAGCTTTCATAGAACCGTAGAATGGTTTGGGTTGGAAGGGACCTTTAAGGGTCACCTAGTTCACCCCCCCTGCCATGGGCAGGGACACCTTCCACTAGACCAGGTTGCTCAGAGCCCGGTCCAGCCTGACCCTGCATGTTTCCAGGGATGGAGCATCCACAATTTCTCTGGGCAACCTGTGCCAGTGCCTCACCACCCTCACAGTGAAGAATTTCTTTCTTATATCTCATCTCAATCCTCCCTCTTTCCATTTAAAGCCATCGTCCCTTGTCCTGTCACTCCATGCCCTTGTCAAAAGTCCCTCCCTAGCTTTCTTGTAGGCCCCTTTACATACTGGAAGGCTGCTCTAAGGTCTCCGCAGAGCCTTCTATTCTCCAGGCTGAACAACCCCAACTCTCTCAGCCTGTCTTCATAGGAGAGCTGCTCCAGCCCTCTGATCATCTTCCTGGCCTCCTCTGGACCCACTCCAACAGGCCCATGTCCTCCTTATGCTGAGGACCCCAGAGCTGAAGGCAGTACTGCAGAGGGGGAGCAGAGCAGAGGGGGAGAATCCCCGCCCTCGGCCTGCTGGTCATGCAGCTTGTGATGCTGCCCAGGATACGGTTGGGCTTCTGGGCTGTGAGTGCACACTGCCGGCTCGTGTCCAGCTTTTCATCCACCAGTACCCCCCAGTCCTTCTTGGCAGGGGTAGTTTTCATAACTTCTCCTTCTTGGCAGGGCTAGTCTCAATCCCTTCATCCCCCAGCTGGTATTGATACTGGGGATTGCTGTGACTCATGTGCAGGACCTTGCACTTGGCCTTGTTGGACCTTGTGAAGTTCACATGGGCCCACTTCTTGAGCTTGCCCAGATCCCTCTGGACGGCATCCCGTCCCTCAGGCGTGTCAACCACACCACTCAGCTTGGTGGTGTCTACAAACTTGCTGAGGGTGCACTGAATCCCCCACTGTCTGTGTCATTGGTGAAGATGTTGAACAGTACTGGGCCCAGTACAGACCCCTGAGGGGCCATTGTTTGTGACAGTTGTGACCTTGTGTTTTTATGACTAGTATCTTACCGTTAATAATGAGCCTGAAACTATTATTTGCAGTACCATATCTTTATATCTTTTTTTTTTTGTCCTATAAATCCTGTTCTGCGTTTTGGCAGTTACATCTTGAAGTACAAAATAGGAATATATCACTGGGTTTGAATTTTAATCTTTTATGTTGTAGAAATTCAGATTTTGTTAAAATGAAATCCTCTGTGGAATCTGGTATAAGTATCACACTGATGCAAAAGGAAGAGCTGAAGGAAGGAACAATAGGGACTGCAAAGTCCTTGTGCTTGGAATTCATGCATTCTTTTTGTCTTTAAATATAAAGATCAGTGTGGAGCATCTGCCAGTATTCTAGTCTACAGGTTAGAGTACCACTGAAGAAGTCTAGTTGTGTATAGTCTGGTGCACCTTTTTTTAAGGAAGGGAAATAAGTATTAAAAGTCATTATTCATGAAATGGAATAAACTGGACTATCCACTTTAATTTGACTCTGGAAACTGCAAGTTCCCTGACTTGAAAAACAGCTCTTTACAACATGTGCTGAACAGCACTATCTTGCTAAGTGTGCTCACAGTGCCAAAACACAGCTTTTAGGTTAAGCAAACATTATTTACTGACATCACTAACCTGATAAACTGCAGAGCAAGCCTTTCTACTTCTATTTAGCTGATAAACTTTATCAAAAGATGGACTATTTGACAAAGAGCAATTTTCTGTAAATATATTGAATGCCATCCTCTTTGCTTTGGGAGTGAGTGCAGATCCATTGTTAAATTAGGCTGACTGACCCAATATTGAACAGCAGCAGATGTGAAAGATATGGAATCTATGTCAAGAGAGAATTTATGCCTCGAAAGGTGCACATCTCTTTAATAGATGAGAATCTTATGAAGAGACAGATAAAAATCTTGGTCAAATGTCTGAAGTGGTGTTTTGGGTTTTTGGTTGGTTGTTTTGTTTTTGTTTTTGTTTTTCACCTTTCCAGATAGAAATTCCACATTTGGAACAGCTGTAAAATTCTGACTAATGGTTTAGAGACTTGTAATTAAATAGGTTATCAGTTAAAATTTCTCAGTGTGTTTTCCGGCTTGTTTTGTCAAAGTGAAATATGATAATTTCCTCTGCCAGACCTTCAGCAATCCAGTAATGAGTCTCGTAGAAGAGACATTCCTTAAAATGTGAAATCTTGATGCTTTGGGGAGCTTAGTTAAATGCTTTGTGTAAATGGGGAGGACATAGGGATGTAGACTATGTAACTCAGCATAGCTTTAAAAAAGTACGTGGCTGCAGAGTTAGGATGAAGCTTTAATTGGTGTGTTAGTAGTTTTGGTTCTCTTGGCCTGACTGGACATACTGTTCTCAAAAGATTGAAAGCGCAATGTGCTGCATGGAAGACTTGAATTTTCTTTAGGAAAAAGGGTGTTCAGTCATTTGCTTGAGGTAGTTGCAAGCGTTCCTCTTGGTTGAATTGCCAGCCTGTCTTGTGCATTAGTCAGCCAGCATCATTTAAAAAAAAAAAAAAAATCCAGACTGGAAGACAAGGAGAGTTCTGTTGGCTTACAAAGCTGTCTTCTGTTTTTAGTATGTAAGTACAGTGTTTTAAATAAATTGGAAAATGAGAAGTGAGAGTTTTACTGCTGGTTTTCAGTGCTAGTTATGAGGAAAGGAGGGAGGTGAGTGCAATCTAGAGGTTGTCTTGAATTTAAAAGGGTATTTGGATATAATCAGATTTTTATTAAAAATAATCATAAATCTGACCTGTTGTTGAGCTAGAGTAAGCTAGTATTGGGAGAGGAGGGAGGATTAAATGTCTGTAAGATTGCGTTGGTCTGCCTAGGGTCTGTGCTTCGTTATAGTACTTTGCGTGGTTATAACCCTGAGTACTGATATTCAAAGAATTACTAACCTTGTGAAAACTTTCGTGGCTAGAATTTAGACCTACTTTTTGTACACATGTGCATACATGTGTAAAAATAGATAAGTTGCCACTGAGCATTCTAGCTTCAGGCAATAACTTTTATATATTATGGTATGGTAACAAAGTATTGCCAATATTATTAGATTGTAAGACTGAGCTTTAAAATTGATGACTAAAATAATCTGACTGCATACTCTGCATTTTAGTTAGTTTATGTCTACATTTACTAAAGAACTATTTTGTTTTGTGGGTTTTTTTTATTTATTTATTTTTCCTTATCAAATATCAGAACATTGGTTTTCTCTAAGCTGACTTTGTCTAGAAACAGACCTAAGCATTTCAGGAATTGATCCCAAGCCCTTTGCTATCACTGCCCCAAGCAGTTTGGAAGTGTACATTCCAGCTGTATGCTACCATGCCGTACTTACAGGGGAAGGAAGCGTCAAGAACTGAGTACAGACTTGTGCTCCTGCCTGCTGCAGGGTGCTTTGGAATATCAAGGGAAGGTGGAACTCCGAGGTTAAACCTATGTAGAACTTCCAAAGGCTTTGACGGGAAACTGTCAATATTACAGCTTTCTCTTCTGGAAAGAATCTTGATGCTTAATCTGGTAGGCTTCCTTCACGTTTCACTTAAGATGGAGTTGCAAGTTACAAAAAAATGCAGTCGTACAGGAAGCATATCTCAGAGTGAAATAGTTAACACATGGAATACTTGGAGAGCCAGTGTATTTACATTGATAAACATAGCGACCATTAAAGATGTATCTACACTGCACCTTAAGTTTGCTAAGTACGTGAGATGAGAGTTACTACTTCTGGTGCCTGAGCTGGTTCAGGTTACTGTATTATGCTGCAGATGGCTTTGCTTGCTTTCGCTGTTACTGATGTGGCTTCCATAAGCTTCTAGAAGGACAAGGGCTTTTGGACTCCTGCTAGGAGTTCCTAAAAACAGGACTATTTTTAAGAAAATAATACACATTCACCATCTCTTTCTCTTGCCTGTGGAACCATTGGGACAATCTCCTCTTAGCCTTTTTATGAGGAATGTAGGTCTTTGAGTATTACACATTCTCCTGTGTGCAAGTAAGATGTCTATCCTCTGTAACATCAAGAAGGGGGAAACATGATGAATCTGCTCCAAAAAATTTCTAAATATGATCTTAGCAATAAATGTGTCAGTAAAAACATGACTATATTGCAGTTAAGAATGTTTGCTATTGTAAAGTATATGTATGCTACTTCTAATATTACCATTTTTTTCCTACTTAAAGCTGAATTAAGCTTTGTGTTCACTGATAAAATTGTTCTTTGAAATTAGTGGTAGCAGTTTGTTGGTAGTGAAAATGTGTTTCCTTGTGAATAATCCAAAAAAATGTATAAATAAAAATATGCACTAAACTAACATATGTATGTGTTTTCTTTTTTTTTTTTTTTTTCCAGTAAAGTGAAGCAAGGTCTCCTTCCTAGCTTAGAAGATCTACTTTTCTATACTATTGCAGAAGGACAAGAAAAAATACCAGTTCATAAATTCATAACTGTAAGTTTATGGTTACAGAAGGCTATATGAAAACTAACTACTACAAGGGGGGTTTTAACATTCTAAATGCAAGAATATATAAATAAAAGCAAAGAATTTCTGTTATACGTGGTTAGCTGCAGCAAGGAATGTAACTATTGGTTTTTTTCCCCAACACTGTTTTGGTAATTGAGTAAGAGAATGTGTACTAGTATTGTTAGTCACTTCTTTGCTGTGCAAAGAGTATGCTTGAAAGCATTTGTGTCTGTGGCAGGGCTGGGTAGCATTTGCACTTGTGTAAAATGTAGCTGGATCACTGTGGATTTCAAATGACATTAATCCTTTGACATAAGATGCAGCCAAAATGACAAAAGGGAATGGCAAAGGATCAGTAAGGTGTCAGAATGTCTCTGTGGTGATAACGCAGTGGCAGATGTCTCTTATCTTGATAAATGAGACCAAGCAGTAGAGAACTTGATTGTAACAGCCTATCTTTTCATTTTAGTAATTATTGTTTTATTGTAATAGGCACTCAAATCTACAGGATTACGTACATCTGATCCCCGATTGAAAGAGTGCATGGATATGTTAAAACTGACCCTTCAAACAACTTCAGATGGTGTTATGCTGGACAAAGACCTTTTTAAAAAGTAAACTCTCTGTCAATAATGTAACTGTATAATTCTGAATGAATGTTGTCTGTGTGTTACTGATTGCTGTCTTAGGAGAGACATCAGGTATATAAATCAATGTGTAATTAGAAAGGGAGTCAAACACACACTCCTACTGGTGCTAGTTTCATATGAGTTTGTTCTCTGGTTTCATGCGGTAGACACATTGTGTGATCTCTGCAAGAGTGTAATGTATCAATGTTGTTTGCATGTGTATCTGACCCCTTACTGCAGCTCTCGATCAGATGTCAAATTAATTGATGCAGCATGGAGTATTTAGTATGAGTACATAAAACTTCTGTCTTGCTGCACCATCAATTTTTAATCTGAAGTTCAGGATGTTGCTTCTGTGTAGTGAGATGTTCAGAGTATGTATGTAGTTAATTCTAAAAGTGAGTATATGAAAAATAGAGTGAAGTTAAATTTGAAGATACGTACAGATGAGAGCAGTTAGGACTGTAGACACTGCTTTGGTCTGTTTTGGAAAAGATATATGTGCCATATTTTAGTGATGTGGGTTTTTTTCAGGAAAAGTCTGTGGTCACTTAGCTGAACAATATCAGCACTGTTCAGGTTGTCTTCAGTTCATTCCAAGCACACTCCTTTGCTTCTCTGCTTACAGGTTTTGTGTGCCAAAAGGTTGGAAGTTTAGAGGCTCTTAAATCTTGAAGTGAAATTTGTAGACTATTTTTTGAGTCTATATTTTTATTCCATTTACAGGGTAAATGACCTAATATCTAAAACTTGCTTCTTTTGTCAAAATTGGTACATTTTTTTTGTTCTGTAGCATTTTTTGAATTTGTGAACTAATACTGTTTAGTACTATTTCCTCTCAGTTACAATTAAAATATATATGTATATGTATAGAAAAGGTGTATTTATGTATATAATTGTGAATATATATTATATACATGTAAGAATAGAGAGTATACTGTAGATGGTTATACTATATTGCGTATTTACATAGTTTATCTAAATATAAACATAAAGTGTATATGTTACATACTTTTTAATATGTATCAACATTTTTGGAAGTACATTGAGGAAAAAATGAATGTCTCTGTGTGTGACAAAATAACAAACCAGTCAACTCCTTAATCAAATGTGGGTTACTTCTTAAAAGTACAACATGGACTAACTTTATCCCTGTAAGTTCAAGACCAGGTCTTCACTGGTTATTTGTCAGCACAGTAAAAACTCTAAGTTGTTAGTCAGAAACCTTCCTGGGTCTATGGTTGGATTGGAAAGAGAATGCTTTTGCTATTATGCATTATATTTATACTAGAAGGCTTGTTTGTAATAGTAAACTATGAGTTACGTTTTAGGCAAGGGCTGTAAGGACAAGTGATTGCTAATTAGCAAGATTAGACTGTGTTCTGCATCACATCTCTAGGATTTGATCCTCTGTGTTAGGGGAGTGGTTGTTACTATGATAATTTGTAGAAAGCTTACATGGTTGGTTCTTGTGCAGGAAGAGTTTTGAACATGAAAACTATACAGAGGGTGGAAAGGTGAATCTCTCTTCACATAGCAGATTTTCCTTTGCAGCAGCATGTGTTAGCCTTTTTTATAAATTTAAAACCCCCAAACTTCAGTTATCCGTTCCTCCTAGGCACACTGCATTTGCTGTGTAGAGACTCATACAAAGTTCCTGTCTTTTTTTTTTTCTTCTCCAAGCATTTAAGGTATGAAATATAATAACGTATCCCTACTCAGCTGTACTTACCTCGGGACTTTGAAGCTTCAGTTCCCTTAACGTAAAAGTCAGTGGTGTAATTCTCCTGTTGAATTTCAGCCCAAAGCTGCTAGATCAAATAAAGCATCAAGTGTAAGTGGTGTGGAGTAGTGATAGCGTAAGCTTGACTAAATCAATCAAATCCAGTAGAAATTACCTGTAAAATATGTTAGCTCATGCATCTGTACTGTCCGTCTCTGTAACAGAAGTTTTAACACCTTTTTAGTGGTTCTAAACATTAGGCTCCAATTTGAGTTGATTGCTTTATTTTGAAGACTTTTGGCTTTACAGTGCTTTCCACTTAAGTAAAAATTTGGAAGAAAATCTCCATGTTACAGGCAGAACAACTTGGGATTTTAGTCTGTCATCTCCAGAGTTTCTTGAATTGAAGGCTGCACAGGTGCACATTTCAGAGACAGTTCTTGCATTAGCTGTTTGTGTTGCATCTGTGTAACATAACGTGTTTTTTGTAGCATGAATGATACCTCGCTGGGAACAGCCTGCTTACTGAAAGCAGCGCAGCATGCTAGTTAGCTTGCTATGTGAAATTTTTTTTTCTTGGTACTACTTAGTAAATTAGTATGAGCACTATCTGACTATTGTTAGATGAAACTTAGGCAACTTAACAAATATGGAAGATTGTACATGCTAATCTTCCTCATGAAGTGTGCTCATTTTGACATATCCTATTTTTTAGATCTGTTTCTATGACATTGTAGCGAATTGGTAGAAAAATTTCTAATAATCTTTGTAAGAAATCCTCCTATCCTTCTTAGCTTTTACTTTAACTCATGGCTTGCTCCTAACAGTAAAAATAGAAGAGTTGCCAAAAGCCCTGTTTCTTAACTAACAATATTTTGGTCAATGGGGGGGGACGGGACGGACAGGCGGAGGGAAGGAAAGGCACGAGGCAGTCAGAATTGAGTTATTTGGAAAATTTTGTACACTTGAATGAGATGATAGCTACTGAGTAACAGTTATAAATCTGAGGTTTAAACCCGGTTCTTCTTCAGAATAACTTGTTTGGCTTTGTAAACTTACCCTTTTGCTGTCTGTCCTGCTTTATTGACCTGGAACTGTGGTCTTGCTAGCCAAATGTCCTCTGATCGGAGGGTAGGAAGCAGCAATCTGGGTATGTTACATTCTAAGCGTAAACCAGAGAATCTGTTGCTGGATCTCAAACAGGGTTATCTATGTGCTGCTGAGTGGCTGTGCTGCTCTCTCAATCTAGGTAGCAAATCCTGAGGAAAACTTTCATTTTGGATATGTTTAATCCAGGTATTAATAAATGTTTTCATCTTATTTGAGCAATTAGAAAGACAGAAGATCCAGAGGACTTCTGCTATGTTATAATACTAATACCTCATTTGTCAAAATAATGTCTCTTTTTTTTTCCTAAAATGTCTATAATATGTTGAATGCTTCTACAGACCTAGTCTTACTAGTTGGAAATAAGGTTTCACATTCCTTTCTGTAATGCTTATACTGTAGCTTTTGAAACAGGAAGAAAGGTGTCCATTCAGCTATACAGATAGCTGAACAGTTCTTCAGAATTGATGGGAGTTCAGACTGTGTTTTTAGCAGGTATCTATTTTAAAGCAATAATCAGCAATCTGAGCCAGAACTTGAAAAAGAATACATGAATGTACCAAGTTGTATGACAAAGGAAACAAAGTGATCCTAACTTTATGCTAGAGATCAAAGATTCAGTTTCCTCCAAAACCCCAGACTGTTACTTTCAGGTTATATAACTCACTGAAAGTTGTTATAGATCATCAGACTTGCATCCTAATCTTCCTAACCCAAATGCCTCGGGAAAGTTTTATAGTTTGAAAGACATGTTTTCAAGTGGGGGAAGAAATGCTTGGATTTGGATTTGGCAAGGCAGGTTTTTTTTTGTTTGGTGGTGGTTTGTTTTTTGTTTTTTTGTTTTTAATGGTGAGATTCTAAAGTTTGGAGAAATGGAAAGATTTGAGGTGGAAAGTTTTTAGTGTACCTGTCTTGAACACCACTGAAGTATGTGGGAGGTAAGGACTAAGTAAAATTTGACTGTAGAAAGATTTGTATTTATCAATATGTTCATTTACTTAAATTCCCCCCTGTGATCTTTTCCTACCGCTCTGCTTCTCCTGAGCCTGAGACCATTTGTTTCCGAAGGGTTACCTGGAACATAAACCAGTTAGAAACTCTGGTGGGGAAGAAATGTCAGTTGCAGAATATTAGAAGCTGTCAAGGCTAGTGTCCTGTGTTGACTGAAAATATTTCTGCCCTCCTAAAAGGAGCTTACGAAGGCCCCTGTTATTTTGTCCATGCAATAATTGTTCCAAATACCCATCTGGATTAATTGAACTCCTGAATTTAATTTAGTCTGCGAATTCATATGTTTTGCCTGGGTTAGGGAGTACCAGGATAAATACCCAGACACTGACCTTGGCAGAAGTCTGGGAAAAACAACTTCTTGCAGAAATAGGTAATGTCCTTAGCCAGCATAGCTATTTCTGCAGTGAGTTTCAATCTCTAGCTTAAAATGATTGAATTATTGAAGTGAGCATCCTAGACTTGGTGTGATTTGCTAAGAGTATAAATGCCCTTCCTGTCTGAGAAACATCATGTGGTATCAGAGGACTGTATTTCAGTGCATACTGCCTTCTTGTTTTCTACACTTTGTATTGAGTTGTTCTAATAGGTTTAGGTGAACTTCAAATATTTTTTTTTCTTGCAAGAGTGCTTAATGTTGTCCAGGTGGTACAAATGATGTAGAAGTGCATATGAAGCTTAAACCTAGTGCATATTATATTGTTATTCCTTCTGCATGTGTAGCTGCCGTAACTGTTATTAATTACTTTTGGAAAGGGAGAAGGTAACTGTTGGAAACAAAAACGAACAGGATTTTTTGCAAGATATGTTAAAAAAAGGAGTGGATAAGCATGACAAATTGCAACAAAAACAACTCAATTGCAATTTTAACATAGACTAACAAAGAAGCGTATTACAGACAGAGCAATTCTTATGATGCCAGTGTGTACAGCCGAAACTTGTCTCCTGTTTCTCTTTCACTCTTGGACAGTAGTACCTACCAGCATTTGAAATGGCTGTCAATTGAATTTGCGATAAAGCCTCCTACGTATAAAGGAGTCCAAACAGAAGGTTTAAAAAAAGGAGGGGGATTCAAAGGAAAGATAATTCTGTCTGTTTGCTGGTCTTTATGCATCTTCATTTTGAACTGATAATGACTTTTAATAATAGGATTATTGGAAGTATCCAAAGTGAAAATATTTCCCTAAAATTTAATTTTTTACTTTTCTGAGTAAGTCTGAATTGGAAAGATATGTTCTCCTTTGTAGTATGGGCCTACATGTTCTTAACTTTCCATTTGTCTGTATTAACAGTATATGTCTGCTTTTCTCAACACTGCCAGAAAGCGTAGTATGAACCTGTTAACAAAAGTGTTTGTTTGGTGTTAAACCTCCCTTTCTCTTCCTTGCCCTGGGGTCGGGCAGTTAATACCCTTTATCAGGTCATATTTCAACTGACATGCTAATGGCTCCCAATTTCCACCCTTGCTCCTGCTCACCCCCACCCACAGACACACCACTTTCAGCAGCATGTCTCAGCTTGTGTGTTCATCCTTCGCTTCTTTTGGTTCTCCTAGATAAGTCCTTTCCTTTTTACCTCATCAGTTTTTTTAAATGCACCAGATGGGCTGATGTTCAGAGGGTGTGGGCGATAATGGAACTGTGTTCTGGGTTAAAAGGCAGCAAAGCTTCCTTAACTGGTGGTAGTTTGAAGCAGGAGACTTGTGGTACTGGCCTCTGTTAACTTTTGCTTAGTTTAGAAGATGTTATTGAGTACTTCCACAGGGGATTGCTCTTACTAAGAGTGGAACCTCGTTCCAGTTTGGTCTGTTGGCAGCATTTTAGCTCAGTTCATAGTGGAACCAGTTGGAAGTGAGAGAAGCCAACCCTGAACCTCAGAAGTCTGATCTAACTCTGAAATAAGCACTTCTTTGGACACGGGCTGGGTTAGGTCACCTTCATGTGTCTTGATCCTAGGTCTTGATAGTACCTTGCAGTACGACCTCACAGTTGGAACTTCAAAGAGCTTTAAGTAAAAAGGCATAAAAATGAATAATGCAACAACTGAAGTAATTAAAAAAAACCAAAAAACCACAAACAAAAAAAAAACACAAAACAAAACTTACAAAGTGGAAAATTGAAAAGTCTTTCTAATAAAGACCTGTTCTTGTAGGCATATAACTCAAGGGACTGATGGTCCTTATTTAGATAGCATGTAATTGCTACTTAAGTAGGCTTTTTGGCAGTGCTTTGTCAAAATACTAATAAATTTTTCTAACATTTTGCAGGTGTGTACAAAGTAATATTGTGTTGCTTACTCAAGCTTTCAGGAGGAAGTTTGTCATTCCAGATTTTATGTCGTTTACTTCACATATTGATGAGCTATATGAAAGTGCTAAAAAACAGTCTGGAGGAAAGGTAACCTGTTTGTAAATTCAATTTCAGATTTCTATAGATTTCTTGATATTAACCAAATACATTGTTTATCAAGTAGACAGATTTTTCTTAACAGTTTTAACAAAATGTTAAATGGATAACTTGATAAAATTGTTTTGGAAGTTCAGTTATGTCTGCAACTTGTAAACTGTGTTAGAAATACATCTCCTTATCTCTAACAATCTTTGACATTTTTGAGGTTAGAATGAGAAAATAGTGTTGTTCTTTATTTTATGTAAACTATAAAACTGCTATATAATTTGTCAAACTAAACCTAGTCTATAAAAGAATTACGCCACTCTACACAACTAGCTCGGTTGCGTGACAGAAATGAGTGTCAACAGCATACCTATGTTAGCAATTAGATTCTATTCTAGTGCTTGTTTTAATTGAAAAACCCTGAACTTTGTTACAAGCTAAAATTTTCTATGATTTGAAAATGCTGAACATGCTGTAACACAGAACAGAGATTCCTCTTAGAAGTTGCTGAAGTTTGTACTTTGAAAAACGTTTTATTTGATAATGATCTAGTGAATGTAATAGTTTGTAATGAAGTTTTAGATATACTAGGTGGTTATTAGTGGAATAATGAAGTTGTACCTTGTGTATCCTTTCCACTGACACTTGTTTTAATTAATGTATATTAGCATATAGTTAAATATTTTAGATGTTGTAATGTCTCTCTGGTTATTTCACATCGTGATAGGTTGCTGACTATATTCCACAACTGGCCAAGTTCAGCCCTGATTTGTGGGGTGTGTCACTTTGCACAGTGGATGGACAGAGGTATACCCTAACTTTGAGATTTTGCTATTTAAGTTACTTATACTATCTGACATATACAGCACTTCATGGTATCTCATGGTTTAATAAAGAAAAAGCTTTATTGGAGTTATTTAAGAAGTAAAATCCACTTGGTCATCTTTCTCAACTTTTTAGAGAGAGTGAGTTATGAGCCTAAATGTAAAGGAGTATCTCACACCATCTAGCTGAGAGGTAAGGTAGACTATTGTGTGTCTACCTTTATGACTAGACAATGTGAGACACTCATCAGCTTGCATGTCTCTGTGTGGCTGCAGTTTGATGTGGTCATACTGCATATTCTGAGTGCTGTAGTTTTTAGGTGTTGAGTATGTCCTGCATGAATGAGGCATTCCAATTTGCTTATGGAGACTATGGATTGGGGTTCATTTTAATGTGATCTGTTGTGATCTGTATGTTTGTTTCTTATTAGCCATATGCTCTATCATCTCTAGGGGAAGAGCTGTACAAGTGAGCTGAAGTATTTTTCAGCTCCCTGCTTAAGTGTTTGAATTATAATCTATTCATAGTAAAATAGCTTTAAAAGTAAAAGCGTTCTGCCTTTTAAGTATTTTAAATTGGCGTTTTGCTTTGCTTTGGGTATTATAACATGTACTAATGAAAGTTTTTTATAATGCTAATTTTTGTAATGTTTAATGTTGTGTAATGTTAGTTTTTATAATGCCAAAATGATTTTGTGAGTTTCTCTGAAACCTCCTCACATTTTCTGCATAGAAAAGAAGCACATAGACTTCTGATTTTGCCGTCACAGAAGTGGTTGCTTGGAGTTTTTTGCTCTAGATGGGGCATATGCTGTTTGTATGAGTCATTCTTTGATGCAGTCCGACTTAGATGTTGAAAATAAACTTTCCAAAAGAGCATTTAATAATTGTAATAAAATACCTGTGCTGTTATCAAATGGAATGTAAATACAGCTATTTAATTATTGCCCTTGAATTCCAAAACTGCATTGGATCTCACCTTTGTTTATATAGACGTAAATACGTATAGTGGCTATATTCAGGTCAGCTGTACCCTGTTGAGTATGTGGTTTGCAATTGAGTAGGGTAAGTGTGATACTAGAGGTCTGAGGTGATTTTTTTTTTTTTTTTTTTACTCTGGTACAAATCAGTTTCTGAACTGGCTTTTATTTTGTTACATCTGCAGTAATCACCAGCAACTGACTTTTTTTTTTATGCTCAGCTTATGGGGGCAATTGTTAAAACCTTTAAATCTTTTTGTTATGCTCTTTAAAATGAGACTTAGTAATAATATGCTTTTGGGTTTTGGGGTGTTTTTGGTACTAGTCCTAGTATGTTGAAGAACAGATGAAGTACTTAATGCTCTACTTGCCACAGCTGGCAAACAGGAAGTTTCAATCCTCTTCATCTGTGTTTTTTCCAGGCATTCTGTTGGTGATACCAAAGTTCCATTTTGTCTTCAGTCCTGTGTAAAGCCTTTGAAATATGCTATTGCTGTTAATGATCTTGGCACAGAGTATGTGCACAGATACGTTGGTAAAGAGCCTAGTGGATTAAGATTCAACAAATTGTTCCTGAATGAAGATGGTAAGAGATACATAATACTTCATAATGCAAATGCTCGATTTTAGAAAATTATGAAACAAGCTTCATGTTTTTTTCAGTCTTTTCATTTCATAGTATCCTTTGAGACAGTGTCCCAAAATATTTTGCCATCAGCAAGGTAGGCTTATCCTTTGTGACTCACTTTTGCCTAATTTAGAATGCTAGTAAAAGATGCTTTGTTACTTCTGTTCTATTTGCTAGTTATCCAGCTGTAGGAAAACACAAAGAATTTTGATGGTGTAGGTATTTGAAATGTGTATTTATTTAGTTGAGTTCATAGCAAGTGTTTCTTAATCATGCCTTCTTTAAAATGGTGGTGAAGAATCAAAAATGTTACATTGATTTTGAGAAACGTGTATCACTTCCCTTCTCAGCCCTCGGAGAAGCAGGTGCTGGTGCCAAAGGCCACCCCTGGCTGGTTTCCAGAAGGCGAAGTTGGACACATCTTCCCACAGATTATTCTAAACTGAATTCGGCTGCTGATTCAAAGCAATGTTTTCGGGTTTGTTTTGGGGTTGGTTTGTTTGTTTGTTTTTCCTATGGCAGGAGTGCTTTAGCAGCAATTTCTAGTACAGTAGTTATCTAGATTATTTCTTTTTCACATTATATTCATTCTAGCATGAAAATGTTATTTTTAAAAACATTATGGCAAAAATCTGAGAAGGGTGACTCATGTAGCCTTAGAGGAAATACTGGATGTTATCTCTGAAACACAAGTGTTTCTTCTAGCAGATCTTTCTCCAGACAATGTTTCTGTTGCCATGGTATTGCAATTAATATTTAATTAACAACATAAGGATTGGATGATATTTTTATCAAGGACTGGATTGAATTCCGACTTAAATATCTATATTATTAATATATTAATGATATATAATTATGTTT